ATATTTTGTAGAATCAAGATAGTTCTAGATTCTACTACTAACTATAGGCCTTGCATTATGTTACTAGAGGTATATTTCAATTTATATTATCTTTCAACTTGGATTCTCATCTATTGGTTAGTATTGTATTATTGTTGATATATTTTAACTTTTTTCGTTATAAACTTTTATATAAATATAATCAGAGCTCTGATTTGATGTCTTTAGATATAATAAATTAGCTAGTTTAGTTCTATAAAATTACTTTTTCAGTTAGTTATTTTATAGTACCAAAGGTGCTTCCAATTCAAATAAGGCCAATCTTTTATTATAGCCCTTTTATATATCCATCATTTCTCTTACTACTCTAATTTTGATAGTGTTATATTACCTTTCCAAGCAAATACCCAATACTAATTCAAATTAGGACTGATATACATGATCTGTTAATTATCTTTCCAAGCAAGTATTCTACAAGTTGGGTATAAAAATATTGGTACTACTTAAAGTGAAAATGGTGTTGCTTTTAAGTCATCCTAATTAGAGAATTTACTTATGTATTTCATAGCTTAGACTTTCTATAATACTATTGTAAATAGCAACAACACTTCATAATTAGGGCTCTTTCTGGGAATTCCTATTTTAAAACTATATTTGTACTTAAATTTTCTACAAAGCTTTGTATCTAAAATAGCATACCTGCTATTTAGTTTACTGAAGATTAAAAATCACAGATTTTATGTATTTAGATAGATTCAAACTATTAATCTTGTCTGTGAAAGTTTGGAAACTTAACCAATAAACTATGAGCCCAAACCCCATATTTGAGTTTTTTTTTTATAATTTGGCTATCTGCCATTGTTTATTTGAGATCATAACTATTCGACAAATTACAATAATTTTTTTTTTAGCTATATTAATCTTTCAAACCTTCAGCGCATCAAGCTTTCGCCCAATGTAGCCTGCCTTAGTAGTCATTGGTCTCAATCCGGGTTCGAAACTTCCTTTGGACTTTTTTCTCTTCAATACTCGACTGGCGACTACAAGCCTCTTGCCTCGATGTAGGCTTTTTTTTAATAATAAGAACATATATACAAAATCAAAAGACAAAATAAAACAAAATGGAATAAATATAACAATGAAGTCTAACCTAACTAAAACAAATAAAACCAAAAACAAAAATAAAGAAAAAACAAAATAAAAGAAAAGAAGACAAGAGTGGTACTATTAAGCCTGTGCCAGACTGTAAAAATTATATAGTGCTACTAAAAACTAGTCTAAACTCTATGTTAGTTATTTATATCTATATTAGGATATATAAAATATCTATTCTTGAGTAGAGATCCAAGTTCAAAATTTTTCTTGTGATTCCAATGAGTCTTCATCCAGCATTCTGCAACGAGGTCACCTTTTTTTTGTTTCTGGGCAAAGTTGACATGCTAGGGCACTTAGTATAAACACTACAACCTTTTGAGGTAACATGGACAACATTATTCATTCCAAAGTAGATATGTACTCCTGTACGTAACTTTCCTTTTTTGGCAACGATTGTTGTTGTTGATCTTTTGATGGGATACGCCGTTTTTCCATTTTTTTGTGAAATTTCGTAAAGAGCAAAGAGTGGAGTGTTGTAGAGGGTTTTGGTAAGCAGGTAGCCTTAAACTTTGATAGGGAGTGTATTGAAAACTTGTTTGCTGTTCTTTTAGACCAACTATTCTTTTACTTCATTAGCAAAAGCTATGCTTCTATTAAAATTTTTTGCACAAGAGCATCACCTCCTGCCAGTTATCTTGTACAAGAACGCTTTTAACTTGCTTGCCGAATATACAAAGAAGTCCGGGCAAGACAAAAGAACTAAAGAACCCTTGACCTTTGTAAAAACCATTATTTGTATAGTTGTTTCTTCTACTTTCTCCAACAAGTTTCTGTTTTCGTTAGTCATAAGTTTGGTATGAGTGATCATCGCATATTTGAGTTTTTTAAAAACTAAATATTGGTTTATATATATATTTTTTGTAAACTACTGTATATTTTTTAATATAAATTTATATTTTTTTAATATTTTATTTTTTGCAAATTTGTATATAGAGAATTAGCAAAAAAATTAAAAATTTAATATGTTTTTTATTATAGTATTTTATCTTTATACTATATATAGAATAGTATAATAGTATAATAAATTATATTTAAATATTAAGGTATAAAAATAATTAAATAAAATTAAATTGTAAACTAAGTTAATTTATATAATTATTATTTTATATTATAAAAAATAAAAAAACTTGTTAATTAAATTAAAAAAAAAATTTTAAATAAAAATAAATCTTTATAAAAAATTAGCTAACAATTAATAAAAAGTATTGCTAATTTGCCTCCTGGTTATATAACCACCCTATTATGCTATCTTAAAAACTAGACTAAATAACCATATTTAATATATTAAGTAAAAATATTCAGCATGATAAAAAACCTTATTCTAGCCTATCTTTAACCTTAACTCTAAACTTTAACTCTTTTTATAATAATAATTCTAATTTTAATTTAAAATTAAAATAAAAATTAATAGTAAATAACGGTGATTAAAAATTTATAATGTTAACCAGGGGTTAAATTCATTAATAAAATATACTACGTATAATCTATATTAAGATATAAAAATTTATACAGTATATATATATATGTGTGTAATTTCATAATAATACATAGTATATTTTCTTTATAAAAATCTTATTGTATTACTGATATTATACGTATAAAAAATAATCAATATACCATCTATTCTTATTACCTTGCAATAGTATTTATTATACAGTATACGTATGTACACAGTATACAATGGATATCTTAATTGTAGAGAAGTAATATTTTGGTATAGACTAATAGAAAAAGATAAATACAATGAAGAAATAAATGAAGTTAAAGTTTAAATTTGTAGTTAATTCGGGAATACATCAAAGATGCAAAGTTATAATAAGATTATGCAGTACGTAAGCTTAAGCTTAAGCAGAGGTTTGGTCAGATAAAAACCAAATCCAATAAATCCAATAAAATCCAATAAAATCCAATAAAATCCAATAAAATCCAATAAAATCCAATAAAATCCAATAAAATCCAATTGAAATTTAACGCACAGACAGCAACTACTTAATTTTTTCTAGTTTGAAAGAAGTTAGATGGAGGACCAATAAGTAAAACAGACAATAGATCATGAGGACGACTTTTTGATAAGGCCATATTTGTATAAATTACAAAATTTAGACTAATACGTGCATATTGAATGAATCTACATTAAAAAAAATTAAAAATTAATTAATTATTATCAGTTATCGTTATAGGACATTATCATGCAAGTTAAAAGATCGAAATCCTCGTGGAATTATGTAAGATTATATAGTTCTTTGAAGTTATGCTAAAACACTCATACGAATAACATCTCGGTCACACATCTTTGTATTATTGTTAATCTAAAGTATATACAAAAGATACAAAAGTAATATAGTAGCATTACTTATACAGGTAAAACACCAACCAAACCAATGGACCGCAGTGAACGATATGTTCGATTTTACCAGAATAGGGAAATAAGACATCATCAGCTGATAACTTTAAAGGCGCATTACTTTACCAGTTTAACTTTCACAAGAAGGACCAAGAAGGACGGAGTATTGACACCGTGTAAAGTTTAAAAAACATTTGAATCGTTATCGCATCAGGAATGTACGCATTCAAGAACACATCAGGTTTCTATCTTTAAAAAGTATCCGATGAATTGAATACATATACAGATATATGATATATAAATGTTATCTCTTTATATTATCTCTTTATATTATCTCTTTATATTATCTCTTTATAACAAGAACAAAAGAGATATGATCGTCCAACGTAACACATTTTAATTAATGACCTAAACATATTAATATATTCATTGTGTGATAATACATAGACGCATTTGTTGGCTCTTAATGTAAGATTCCTGTGACATATGTGACATAATTTATTATGATTTATTATTATTCGTTATTCGTTCGTAGATTTCACAATTTCATCAATTTCATCAATTTCATCGTGAGACTAAACTTATGTCTATGCATGCTTTAATTAATTGTTTTTAAATTGTCGTTATATACTTTAAACTATTATTCCTGTCAATCAAAATTTATAGTTAACAATGAATATTTCGATCATTATAAAATGCTGAAACTATTACCTGAATTGAAATTTGATTAATTTAATTACATTGAATTAACTGAATTCATATCGATAATAATGTTAACAAAGCTTTTGATCAGATGATATCATGTATTAAATAATCTTATTAAACTTATTAAACTTATTAAACTTATTAAACTTATTAAATATATTAAATATATATTAAATATATTAAATATATTAACAGATTTAAATATAATGAATTCACGTGACTAACACCGAATGCCTTATTCGTCATAAATTCTATATTTAAAACTTAAGGCTGATGAACATTCTAAAACCCGAAGTCGATTAACCTATTTAGCTGTATCTTTACACCCATATCCGGCGCTTATTTACAAACTATCCAGTTTGCGTTCCCACAGCTGTAAACTTAAAAATTTTTTTTCATTATTGCGTTTTGCCGCCTTTGAATCAGATTGTTACAAACACAATGTACATCCTGAGCTCGTTATTATGCTGAATAAAGTGATAAATACTTGGTGGTTGTTGCTCTTTAACAATATTTTTTTGTTTGATAATATTGATAATATTTAAACTTGTTTGGATATCCGCATGGTACAAAGGTAATCAGATTCCTATTATTTAATTTTTTTAAAAAAAAAAAAAAAAATTATCTTTTTATATCAATCATTAATTTCCTTGTTAGCTAAAACATTCTCTTTTCTTTTTTTTTTCTTTTTTTCCATCTTATATCTACTCAATCTACTCAATCATATTATTCAGCTTTTCCCGCCTGCCGTCCATTCCTAATTCTCTAAACATCGCTTAAAATAAATATTTATTTTCATACCTTTTTTTTTTAACTCATGTCTTCCCATCGTAACCTCCGCGGCGCAGCTGCCGCTTCCCTTTTGGACTTTGACTCAAATATACCCTATCATACTTTCTTACGAAATTTGAAATTGTTACGTACTGGTCAAATTATTGTAGATTTTGAAATAATATTAGAAAAGAATAGGGTTATATTTCATGGTCCTCCAACCTCTAATAAATCACGGACGGTGAGGGGGAAAGTTAAGTTAGAAGTTGCTGGAAAGCTAAACGTGAAAGTATGTGTTTTACAAGTCCAAGATTTACCACTTTGTATAAATTTATAAAAATTTACTATTTAACTCACTTTCAATCATTTATTATACTGCAGGAGATCATGTTGACACTGACCGGTGACTTTAGATTTTGCAAATTAAATAATGTTTCAACTGTAAATGATGCCACTATTCCACGTCAAGGAACTGTATTTTCAACGTGCATATTACTGGCAAATAAACGTACTCTTTATCCAGGTCTTCATGAATTCTTTTTCGAATTTCTCATTCCTGGGTGAGTCTGTTAATTATTATATTTTTGTTATTATATATTTTTTTAATATTATATTTAAGTTCATTTTAATCTTTTTTTATTATTTATTAATAATTAATTATTTTTAATTAATATTGTTCGTTCATCAGTGATTTACCGGAATCAATTAGTTCTGATCACGTGCTATGCGAGTATTTCTTGAGAGCCGATCTTATTCCACGCGATACCGATGAATTAAATTCTCTTAATAAAGTCGTGGATATCGTAGATATCTTTGTGGAACGTGCTATGCTATTGAATGATGGTTATATCTCTGATGGTCTTGAATCTATGAGATATATTGGTTCAAAAAAAAATGTGTACGTTATTATCATTTCGATAATTTATAATTGATTATAATTTCTTATAATTACTTAATTATTAACTCTATAATTAACTTTATAATTAACTCTATAATTACTTCTATATCATTTTATTTAGTCTTGATTTTGAATTCATAGTGCCAAAGATCATACGTCTTAACTCTGATGCTCTTAGGTTCTGTGCTCGTTGGGATGGTCTGCGTGTTGCCAACGTTACTTTTAGCTTTGTTCAAAGCGAATATTTGAAATCTTCCCTTCCTGAAACTGATTCTGAAACTGATACTGAAGATTCTAGTCCTCCAACTGTAATTGATTCTGCTTCAAGGTTTATCTCTGGTCCTTTCCGCTTTGATTTACCGCGAAATGAACGTTTAAAATTACAATGTAGACCAATGGTTTTTCAGCTTCCCATAACTGAGCCTCTTGTACATGATTATGTTTTATTTGGCATTGAGATTCGTCATCGTTTAGTTATTTCCATTCAGATTGCAAATCGACGTAAAGATATTATTCGTTTCGAGGTCCCTATCACTGTTGAATCTATAGTTCCAAATTTGGATTCTTTTCCGAGTCCTTGCAATGTTTGTCAAACTCCTCAATCTGCCTTACTTCATTTTGCAAACAAGATTTATCATGGTCAAATGTTAGACTCTAATAAGAATCTCAAGGCTAAAATTCCTAAAAATCTTTCAAATGATTCATTTGATTCAAAGACACCACACGATCAACTTCCTCCTCAAGTTATTAAAAATAACGAAGAAATTGATAAAGTACAGCGGATCGTTCCGTCAAGATCTAGCAGTATTCAATATATCAACAGAAATTCTACTATTAATAATAGTAGTAATAATAGTAGCATTCATGATGATCATCACATTAACTTTAAGAGTTCCATTAGCACTATAATTGAGAGTGATGATGATGATGATGACGAAACTGATAAAATCAGTTCGGAAAAAACTGGTACCAGTGCAACTACGGCTACCTACATCAATTCTACTGAAAATGCCCAACCTTTTCATCAAAAAGCTTTACCAAAACCTGTATTTGCTAGTGCTTCTTCAAATATTGTTGCTGATAAACTTGCAAAATTACAATATATTTTGCAACAAAGACGAAGTCGTAGAAGATCTATGAGCGCTAAAAATCCTGTCAAAAAAACTCGTTCTTCATCGTCCGCGTCTACTGTTAAATTTGATAAGTCTGAAATATTTGATATTATGGCTACGCGTTCTGCTAATTGCCCTAATATTCCTCTGGAAACGACAACGCTGACGGCTTAAAAAATTAACAACCAATTGCATATATTTCATATATATTTTAATATTAATACTACCTCACCCAATTCTCTCATATTAAAAACAAAAAAAAAAAAAAAAAACATTGAACATTTTAATTGTACAGTATATGACTATTTGATTTATATGCATATGGTTATCTGTAAATTTATGAACTATTTTTCTTTCGGGATAAATAGGTTAAAAAATTATGTGTTAATTAGAGGGAGGGTATATATGTGTATATACAACTATATTTATTAAATATCTTTCTTTACTATCATTTATATATATATATTTATTAAAATAGGTTCATTATCACTAAACTAGGTGTTAGAGGGAGATGACACGTTTGAAAGGGTGATATCGTTGTTTCCTTACGATCATTATAAAGATTGGGATCCGTTAGAACCTTTTCTCGTGTTTTGATAACACGTAGAATTTGATAATGTTTAATTCCCTCCATCTTTAAAAAAATTTCTTCGTTAAGGTTTCTTCATTCACTTTGTAAATATTATAGTATGAATGCTTCGTTTTTGTGTGGTTTTTTTTTCTTTTTGTTTTTAAAAAAATTAATAGTATCTAGGATCTAAAAATAAAATAAAGAAAAAAAACAAAAATATTTGAAAAAAAAAAATGTTTCACATTTTAGTATATACATGTTAACTTTACCAAATTAAGAAATAATTAACGTTAAGAAATAATTAAGAAATAATTAACGTTAAGAAATAATTAAGAAATAATTAACGTTAAAAAATAAATATATAATTAAGAAATAATTAACGTTAAAAAATAAATAAGAAATAATTAACGTTAAGAAATAATTAGGGATACGTATACGTAGAAATTTTCTATAGTATATATTTGCTCGGCCGGTGTTTTGCGTTGGGCCGAAATGTTTACACCGAGGTGTTTATCTCCGAAATGTTTACGTCTAAAAAAGGTAGACTAGAAGCCACATTATAAAAATTTCTCATTTCAGAATCGTCTTACAATCAATAATTAAATATATATAGTAATCAATATTGCTATAAAAATGGAATAGATTTAAATAAAGTTTCTTTAATCGAAATTCGATAAACTGTACATAAACTTTAAATTTAAACCGTATTTTTCGAGTAACGTTTAGTTGACAATTATATATTTGTGGATACAATTCTTTATTTAATAGAGCTTTTTATTAGATAATAAAAAAAAAACCGAGAAATACCAATGAGATAGATTCTTTGTTAAATTTATTATTAAATTCACCATAATAAACATCTATATTTGTTACAAAAGTTACCATTTATCTTGTACTATAATTCCGGCAAAATCCGGGTATCTACGCATTATATATCTATGAACGTACGTACGTATAATACAATGTTAAATTTTGCTTCCAGTGGGAATTTTAAATCTTTCAGTAAGAGCAAAAGTTTCAGTAATACTATTATTAATTTTGCTTCCAACAACACCTAATTATGATAACCGGTTTTACTAAATCACACTGGTGTTCAACATCACAATGATTTTTACCGTTA